CTGCCTGCAAAAGTGAAGCCCTGATCTTGCCCGATGCTACTGGATGGTGTCTGTCGCGATCAGGACTGATCCTGGACTGACTGGTCCAGAGCAGCAGCCTGCCCATCAGCAGCGCTGCTAGCTAATTGACAAGCTAATAGTAAGGCTGTCATATTAGCATGCCGGCAACTCCTCTCCTACAAAATTAGCTTGGATAATGATAATAATTACAGATGGAGTTTGAATCCTGTCTCTGCTGCCAATGGGTGAAATTGGTTACTGCCTGATAGCTCTTTGTTGAGCCAAGGAAAATGAATTGATGGTCTCAGTTCAGTTCCTAAGACATGAGTTTCTACAGCACAGGAATTCACCCATGGGGGACACCTTTACTGCCAATCTCAGCGGTGGGTTGGAAATGTGGGCATAAAGGCTTGGCTGCCCATTCGTACTGACAGCTAGTCCTCACCGGGGAGGATGGGACCCCAAGTAGGGTATGAAATGGATCTTGCTGTCTTGCTAGCCCAGATGTACCCACAGTGTAACCAAAGGGGAGTGGGGGGAACTCTGCTGTGTCTGCAGAGAGGAGAGACAGAGCTAGTCCTGGCAGTGGTGGGCAGTCTGAAACAGAACCACTGTGTGCCTGAGAACAGTAAATGAGACGACACGTTTTTAATGTATTATGAGCAACTGAGGGAACTTTGCTTTTGTTTTCCTCAGCAACATAAGCCCAGACCAAATGCACTGAAGAACTCAGCATCCTCGAAAGCATTCCCCATCTGAGGCTTCATAAAGCTGCCACACCACTGGATCTGTCCCTGGCTCTGCTCAAGCTGGACATCCCTTGGCCCAGGAGGAGTAAGTTTGTTTGGGAGCTGTTGGATGCTATGGGGTGTATTTCCACTTCTTCCTGGGCACATCACTGCGCAGAAGACCACAGAGCAGTCCTCACTCTTTTCTGAGGGCTCTGCTCTGTGCCTCCTTCCAGTTCCCTCATTTCACTGATCCTTTGACAGCCAATCCCTTCTTTCTCTTGTTTGCTGCCCTTTGCTCTCCCCATTTTCTCATCTCTCCCTGCCCTTCTTTTCCCAAGGAGGTTTTATTTTTGGAGCGAACATTTTGTCCAGTCCCTCACAATGCAATCCAGTAGGGCAGGACTTGTTACCAGAGAGCAGAGTGCTGATGGTGTGAGACACAGCAGGAACCAGTGCAGATGGTGCCCGCTGTTACTGTACATCACACACTGTTACAAGAGAGGCACTGGGCTCCGGGTGGCTAAGAAGCTTTGGCAGAAGAGCGCAATCCCTGTTAGTATGGCTAACGTGGAAATGGCAAACGCTTTTGCACTGCTACAAAGTGACTCACAAGATCACGGCACAACAGATTATGTTCTTTGTCCCCACTATATGTTGTGACACATTGCCATGTTCAATAGCTTTGCAAGCTGAAAGACTAAAGGGCAGGCATTAATACACAAAAAGGTCAGATCTCCAAAGGGGCTCAGACTAGTGGTAGGGGAAATACTTAATCCCTTGTTATTCTGTCCATGCCAAAAAGCACACTGTAAGGCATTATGTACTGGCTGAGCTTGGAGAAGGTGAAAGCATGGCTTGCAAAGAGTATGCCTGCAAGTAATGGTTTTCTAGTGTTACTGCATGGATGCATAGCCTGGCCAGAACCACAGAAAAAGCTAATACCCGCAGGGACTGGGGCTGTGATCAGAGACCTGGTGAGTAGGGATGTTCGACCTACTCTTGCCTTTGCCCCAAAGCCATGGATGGTTCAGTAGCCTGACTCAAATGATACCGTGTGTGTCCCTGCTCCAGACAAAGGGAATCCTAAAAAAAAAGCACAGGAGAAGACAGAAAAAAAGAGTGAAACTACAGAGTAAATACAATTACATGATATGGACCTGTTTTTATAGTGCAAAGACTGTGGAGTTCTGGAGTCCTTTAGATGAAGCATCAAAAGTATTATAGCTAGACACAAAGGTGGACGTGTAGACGAACTGCACAATTAATGGGATTTATTTGGGTCTGAATGATGTGGATGTCATGCCTCTACAGATTTTGATTGTCCTGTTTTGCTGTTTTCAGGCAACAAAGAACATTCTGCTACAGGATATAATGGTGTGAACCCACATTTGAGTTTTTTGTGGAATATTAAAGTGTATCTGAGAGCAAAATTCAGGCTTTAAACAATATATGGCAAGTCATAATCGTAGCAAGACTATGATTATGTACATAATGCTGCAGCACTCTTAGCCACTTTCAGAATGAGAGATACGCCATAAAAGAAAGTTGTTTGGAAGATGCTGACTTTGGATGGGGACTGGCATGTTCTTTTCTTCTCTATAATGTTAGTGCAATTGCATGCTCAGCTTTAATATTTTATTTCTATCCTCGCATTTAGAAATGCAGACATGCAGAACCACAAGGCAGTGCCAGTAATAAATGTTACAGAGGGAAGTGCGAAAAATCCCATAATGAACAATGATGGAATAAGCTGCCCAGCGATGAAAATTTCTTTCTAACCCCAAGCAATTAGTGGCTGGCTTATATCATAAAGCATGAAGGTTTGTGTCCTTTCTACATTTTTATCCAGTCTAATATGGCTGTGGATATTCTCATTACCCATATAAATGTCTAATCCTTTTTTTTTATGCTGCTAAGCTCCAGGCCTCAATAAAGCCTGTGGCGAGGAGTAAAGTTTTGGAGAGTGCATAAATGCTCATGAGAAGGAAGAGAATAAGACAGAGCAAACACATGATGTGTCCTACACCCAAACTGCTACAAAGGGGCTTGCTTTCAGGGTTTCATTGCTAGTGGGGACAAGCAGAAGTAAAATGAGAGGTGAGGGTTTGGCCTGCCACTGTTCCCTTTATACCTCTGCTATAACTTAAGACGTCACTAAGTTATGGGGAAGCTGGGCACCGAGAAATACCAATATATTGCTGAAGACACACCAAGATAAATCCAAACTTTACACAAAGCAGACTATTTGGATGTCAGCTTTACTGCCAGAAAGGAGCCTCTCTGCCTGCAGCAAAGTGAAGCAAGAATGACTGTCACCTTTCAGTGTGTTAGGTTGTTGGTGTTTGTGCAGGGACTCACTGTGAATTGCTGGCTGAGCAAGTCTCTCCAAAACTCAGAAAGAATCAGATTAAGGCCATTGACTTTTATATAAACAAGAACGGAATATGCAACTGAAAGCTTTCTTTAATTATGGGGGTAGCTGGAGACAGTAACAAAAGCTCAAGTCATTAAGATTCACCCAGAAAGAACATCTTTTCTCTGATATCTGCAGTAATGGATGATGGAAGATTAGCTAAAAGGAGCTAGATAAACCAGAAGAAAAGATGGGCATAGAAATGGATGAGTAAACAGAGAGATGATAGACTGGCAAACAGGTAGATGCTTAGATAGATGGATAGTTGAACAGATGGCTATAATTATATAACCTTAAAGACAGGGTTCTTTCTTGGTGCTGTGGTTGAGCTCACTGAGCGTACTAAGGGCTCCCTGCAATCTTCTGATCTCCATAAGCCTCCAAGAGCTCCCCATCCCTCTAAGCTGCTACAAACATGTATATACATGCCAAACTTTTAGCACAGTAAGCCCCTTGATTTCAATTGTGCTTAAAGTTGAACTCATGGCTAAATGTTTAGAAAGTGTATGTGTGCAGGATGGTAATTATTTTTCAATACTCTTGGTATTTCTGGGCTTTCCTTTGCTGCATTCACAGGGTGGCTTTTTTTCAGTGACATTGTCTGAACTGTAACTAGGTAAGACTTTTGTGTTTCTATGTTATGTGATATTTTTCCTTGTAGCTCATGAAGTCCCCTGTGATGTTGAATCTTGAGTTTTCAGGACTGGCTGAGATAGAAAGAATTTTTTTTCTTAGGGGTTTTGTGGGCTTTTTGGCTGGAGCATCTGACTCAGTGTTTGATTTCCTAACAGGCTAGATCAATCTATGAGTGCCCCAGGGTAAAATACTCCTTTGCCATCTGGTGGCTAGGAACAATTAGTAACATTTACCTAAATTTGTATTGTTATGATTGTATTATTAGTATGTGTACAGCAATGGTAAGGAATGTCTTCTTAGCAGAAGTAGAGCTTGGAGGAGAGGGCTATCTCAAATCTTGAGGATTCTGAAAAAATGTAGGTGCCCATTAAGGACTTGCAAACTGAGTTCTTGGTGATTACAGCTTCAAAGTGTCCATATATTTGTAAGTACAGCTATAGAGGCAAGTATGTATCCTTTAACCTCCTGCATTCATCCCTGACTGCCAGGGCTTGCAAAATCAATCCTACAGTGCTGGCATCTTTTGAGCTAGTCACAGTCTCCATCCCAGCAGCAGTTCTCTGGTGGTGTGCCACAAAAGGGTGAAGCTGCACCTCACTAAAGAAGCTTCAGTCTCCAGACCTGGTAAGGCAACAGGATTTGGATGCAGTGAGCATTTTGGAGACAAATACCTGCTGCCTGCACGCATGGTCTGAGGCATGGAGCAGTTTAGGTCAGCAGCCGTGTAGACCCTCTGGACTCGTCCTCCCAGAGCCATATGGCTGCAAGGGAATCCCATCAGGAGATACCAATGGTGGGTGCTAGGAGATGCAAACAGGCTTAGCACAGCTCCTTCAAGGCTAGCCAGCAGCAAGACCCTTGGGAGTACTGCTAGGAGATGTGCCAGCATGAACTGGTCAGGCCTCAGTTCAAATTTTAGTTAAAGCAAAACATGCTGGGCGTCCTGATTGTATTCACCAGACAAGTCATCCAGCAGATGAGCACACAGTTCTTCAGCATAAAAATTTTCCACTTCCAACACGACCTTGATGTCTATCACCTAGATTTAACTGTATAACAACTAGCTGGGTAAGACCTAACTACACCAATGCTAGAGTGAGCCCTGATGGTGTGGTGTAGAGTCCTTCTGAGTTAGCTCATGCTAGACAAAGTCTGTGGATGTGGACAATCTCCCTAAGATGGAAGGAGCAGGTTGTGGGCACAGCATTGGTCTGGCTTACCTGGGTAAGGGTGGATGCCATTAGCAAACACGGCTTCTGCAGCGGGCTGCCCATTAGCCTGCGGCGGGAGGCCAGTGAAACCATTCACCCCAATTGGAGATGGGATGCTAGGCACAGCTGGTGCAGTTATGCCAGGAGGCGTGCTTCCACCTGCAAGTGGGGAGGACACAAAATTAGAGCTGGTGAGTACTGGAAGCAATAACTACACGGAGAAAACTGCTGACACAACAGCTGTGACCAGCACACAGAAACCTTCTGATAATCCAAGAAATGAAAAATCTCCCAAGCTGTTGTGCAAAGAAAGGGATTGCTTGCCATTGCTCCTCTGTTTGGAAAGCACTTAAGAAAGTCTTGCAAAACTTTCTTCAACAGAATGAAGGAAAGCACTTAAGAAATTCTTGCAAAACTTTCTTCAACAGAATGAAGCTTTTGCTTGGTGATCATGGTCTCTAGTCCAGATCCACGGCTAACGTCAAACAATAGAAAACTATAGAAATATCATATCATCCTTCCTCCTCAACTTTCTCCCTGGAGTGTTACCTGTTTAAATTGCTCAATAAGCAGACGTTTCTTTCCTAGATATCATTTAGTACCAGAAGCAGTTCTCAGTCCCACCTTTTTACAGCAGTTCCTCTCAGTTTCTCTTTGGAGATGTCAGCTTTGTGGGCGTATCGATTTCCAGGACTACTCTGTCTGCATTTTCTCATGAATACACATTTCATGTACAAACTCATTCTGAACTTTCTCAGCACCAGAGATCCTTAAAATGTTTGGCAAGTTGATCTGTAGCCCAAAGGCAGACAGTGATATTTTTTTCTTAGTGTCACTGTTTGGCCCAAACTTGACTTCGTAGAGTTTTAGCAGAGATCTCTCACTCAACAGGGGCAAAATTTGGGCTAGGTTTTTTTCTTTCATGGAATCATACTCCTCCCCTTCTTCCCAGATGCATCCTGTGGGGGACTGCAATTCTGTTATTTTGGAAGAACAATTTAGTCTTTATGTTTTGGGTGGGATCCTGTCACCCACTGGTAGAGAATTCTTAAATTTCTGAGGGGAGAATTAAATCCCCCTGCTACTTCATTGTCTGCTCCTATGTATGCTTAAAATGACTGGGCAGTCTGTGCTTCTTACAACTTATTCAGGATGCTTTTGGGGACCAAAAATGAGTTTTCAATAAGTGTGAAATTGTATTTTTCTCTTGCTAGCTGTGAGTAGGAAGTTAAACTACCTTATCTTCAGCAATATCTTTCTGTGTCACGGTATACTACTGATTGAAAGCACCATTTTTGCAGTAATCTCTTTTTTAAACCAATTGCAGAAGTTTTCTTCAACATAGCAGCATTCCATGAAGGGTTAGTCCAATAAAACACTTTAACGACTGCTTAAATCTGTGTTGGTGCTTTAAGAAAGCCAGTACAGATGCATGAGATATTTTAATATGTTCTGATTCGAGTAGCCCAAAAAGCAAGCAATATTTCAGCTCTTTTCTTATACCCTGAGCAGACAAGCTGCTGTTTCCCGTTTGCTTATTTAAATGGTGTTGGCCTTTAAAAATGTCCTCTGTGGAGGTACAGGGAGCCAGCAGTGGCAACTGAAGTCCAAAGGCAATGCTCTTAGCATATGCCATCAGCTTGCAAATCACAAATGCTAGTTAAAATTTCAGTTGCTTTTCTGGATCTCTCCTTTATTTGCATAGACAGTGTAAGTAATTTTTTCTAAAATCGCAGCAAGGGATTTGTGGTTGCTATTTTGTGCATGTCTAAGGAAGTTTAGACATATTCATTGCAATTCTTTAATTTTCTTCTTATAAAGAACCCCCCTGGAGAGGTCAGATTTGTAGCTGGAGTAAAACTGGCATAAGCCACTGCACAGAACAAATGGCCGTGGTGCCTGCCAGTTGTGGATTTCACCCCTGGTTTGAGATCTTTTGCTGCAGCTACACCACGTGGAGAGGTCAGATTTGTAGCTGGAGTAAAACTGGCATAATGCCACTGCACAGAACAAATGGCCGTGGTGCCTGCCAGTTGTGGATTTCACCCCTGGTTTGAGATCTCTTGCTGCAGCTACACCACGTGCAGACTTTCAACATGGAGGGAGGGAGGGAGGGAGAAGAGAAGGAAGGAAGGAAGCCTAAATGAAATTTCATTTCTACCCCCTCTGTGCAGTTAACAGAGTGGCAGACCCGCTGCAGACCCACTTTTCACCCAGATTATACCAATGATGGGATAAATGCAAAACTTGAACCAAACTTTCAGAGATGTCAATTTAATTGCCTCGCAATTACAGACTGTTGTGTGAGATAAACCTGACTCTTCATGGGGAACCATCAAAATGCCAGCAAATAACGTAAAATTTTTATGGTCTGAATTATCCACTGGGACTGCCTACTGCACTCCATTGACTGCAGGAAAGCCAGGTGACTAGTTTAAACTAGATGTCTAACTTTTGTATGGTTAAAGCTAGGTGAGATGGATCCTCTCTCTAGTCTGTTAGATTTGCCTGGATCCAAAACTCTTTAAGTTCCTAGGTCCCATGGGAACCCCGGAACCTGAATGAACTCATGGCCATGTCCCAAGGAACCCATTCTCCTGGAGGTGGGATGCACAGAAAACCAGCTGGATTAGGAGGTCTGAAGATACCAGTATAGAGGCACTGTGCTCAGCCAATACCTCCAAAGCCTCTAGGACTTCTGGGTTACCAGTGTCCTTTTTCTAGCACATTTTTTCTTTTGCTTAGGAAAGATCAAAACACTTCTTTTTTAAAAAAATGTTCCAAAACCTTTTTCTAATGCCTGTTTTTCAGAGAACTTTGAAATGTTTCATTTTCATTCCAAGCCAGAACAAAGATATACTTCAATGACTGGAAATCCTGCTATGAAGCAGAGTGATCATTTTCCATTTGGCTTTCTGAATGCTAACAAAAGCCAGCAGGAGAATTCACGTTAGGCTTCAGATATCTCCTGGCTACTCAGAAATTCCTGCCAGTATTGTAGGCTTGCTTGCTCAGACATTATATGAAACATTTTCTATGCATCTTATCACAACCTTTGTGAGTGTTGTAGTAATACAAGGAGTCATTTCAAAGTCTAAACATTTCACCCAAGGAATAATTGTTAATGGACATTTCCACAACCCATTACAGAGTTTTTTCATGAAGGAAGCTACCCATTCAAGGTAAATCTGCAATAATGCCAAAGTGCATAGTCTCCATGATTGAAAATATGTCTTGAGGAGCGTGCAAAATCTGCCACCATGAAAGAGATCAAGGGAACATCTAAACCACCATTTTATTTTCAATAATGACCAGTCATGGGTGCTCTGGAAAGCATGTAAAAAACCATGAGCTTTCCCCTCCTGTATTATGACAGTAAGAGTTTAACAGTCCCCAAAAGGCACCAGGCACACCAGAAGAGGAGCAGAGCTTACACCAAAGAAGGACCGGGATATTTTTCATGTGCTGGATATCATGGTAGGCACAGAATTTGGCTGTTGTACTGGTATTTACATGCCTGTGTCACAGAACTCGCTCATTCTTAACTTATTTATATGCAAAAGATCTTGTGCTCTTTTGTGGTGGGGCCATCATGCCTAGATTCAGCTTTCCATGCCCTGAAAACATTTGAATTCCAGGCAGTCTTTGTTTGACGTTCTCTCTGCTCCCACTAACACAAAACAAATCTAGCTAATGCAAATATGATAATCTTTCCAGCAGCGGGTTTAAAGGGTGCACATATAATTAAGCCACTTTTCTATTTGGATTTGCAGTAGCTCCATCAACTTGTTGTTTATACATTTATCATTTCATAAACATATATTTCAAAATGTGTGGTATAAGATTTTTGAGTCAAGCATTTTTCCTTGGGTCTCCGTAAGTTCACATGGAATGAGATCTGTCTTTCTCTCCCTTCCCGCCCCCCCCCTACTCTGATATAAGCAAAGGAAAAGATACGTATCTGATCCAGTAGCTGCTGACTTTGTTCCCAGTTACAGATTGCAAATAGATGCTAAGCTGTGTGTGAATGGGGAGGTTTTCTTTGGCAGCCAGGTTAGCCAAACTCAGTTCATTAAGAATGGCCCCCAAGCCTGCACTGCTGCGGTGCCTTATCTCCCTGCCATCCAGTGTTTCTCAGCCATGAGGCATCTTTCCTGGTTGCTTTGTCAGATGGCCCTTTCCTGCTCCAGGGCTCGTGCAGACCTCTTCATGTTTGGCAGTGAAGCTGCCCCTTTCCTCTCTCACTGCTTTGCTCTGGAGTCCCAGATCGTGCTCTGCCCAGCGCTACCTGTACCACAGCTGGCTCAGGTGTAGCTCACTCCTCCCATGTCTCACCCCAAACCTTTGTCAAGCTGGTCCCCTCCAGGCCAGCTTGATGCTTCAACGTTCACACAAGGGCATCGGTATGCCATGTCTTTCTGAACACAGTCCCATCCCCCGTGCCTCTCATAGGAACAACCTGCATCACCCCAGGGACCCTTTTATCCCAACCTGTCCCTTATAAATGGTCCTCTGAAGATGTACCTTTGAGTCCTCTGCTCCCCTACCAGAGTCAGTGATATATTGCAAAGCTCTCCAAATTCTCACTTCTTTCCTCTCATGGTTCAGCCCCACTTTCCCTTCTGCCCTACTTCCCCACTGTTAGGTCACGTGCCACTCCATGACTACCAGCCCTGTTGGTTCCTTGACTTGTTCCTGCCCAAATTATTTCCTTGTGCTTCAAGCCCCAGGAAAACCAGTCCTGTTTCCATCTCAGCTTAATTCTCTGCCCACTGAATCATATACTGCAGCTCCTAGCATGGGCTTCTTGTGACATCTCACAGCGTAGCCAGATCCTGGCAGCCCTTCACTGACTACCTGTCTCTGCTCCAGCAGCCAGAAACCCTCTCACCAAACACTTGCATTCCAGGTAGCACCAGAGGTCTTCCCTGAGTACCTCCTGTCCTATTTCACAGTAGGGGAAAGGCTTATGTGTCCCAAAAGACATAGCTCATCTTGTTAACGATATTACATCTCACCACAAACTTCATTTTGTTTGTCTTTGGACCAGCCTGGCTGTGACAGCATCAGCACTGACTCCTTGGACATCTATATGCACCACCAATAAACCAGTGTAGGTCACTGGGGAATGTTTTGTGCCATTTGGAGGGTGCTCAGAGCTAAAGGAAAGTTGTGTAAGGGATAAGGCTGAGAGGGAAGGGTCATGGCTGAAAGCCCTTTCCAGTGCCTTCCCTGCCAGCACCCTTCCTCCTCCCCAACAAGCCCATTGCGTCCTGGTTCTGGTGGGTCTCAACCCTCTTGCTCTACTCTTCCACCAGTGAGTGCCACTCAGCAAGGGGCACAGCTAGCCCAACAGCCCACTGCTGGCGAGCCATTTCACTTTGCCCTTACAACTATTTCACGATACAGAAGCTGACCTGCAGCTGGCCACAGCCCTGGAAGAGGCGGTAACAGTCTTTCTCTGCCCCTTTCCTCCTCATAGAATCATAGAATCATTAAGGTTGGAAAAGACCTCTAAGATCATCAAGTCCAACCGTCAACCCAACACCACCATGTCCACTAAACCATGTCCCTCTCCCAGACCACAAAAGGATCTGGTCGGCTCCACTCCTCACTGTCTGATGGCCTTCACCAACAAGACCAACATTTCAGTAAACACCCACTGGGGGAGAACCTGTCAGCTAACATATCCTGCCAGGTCTCCTCTGGGATTTGGCCAGATTTTCCTGCCCTTTGCCCTTTCCAACCCTCGGCCCCTTACCTGAGGTTGGTGTCATGGGGGCGGCTGCCAGGCCGTTCATGTTCAGAGCCGCCATCTGCTGCATCTGGGCCGCGGCAAAGGCTGCCATGGGGTTCAGGTAGCCACCCTGCGCCACCGAAGCCATGATTGCGGCTTGCTGCTGCATCAGCTGGAACAAAGAGAGCAGGGAAAAAATATCATGCGGTCACCAGAAGGGCAGCCCATGGCACTGGCACCAGGATGGGGACCCGGTGAGGGTGTGAGGTATTCCTCTGTTTTGAGATGTCAGCCCGCCATGCCTGTGGTACCCTCCAGCCCTGGCCTTCCTTGTCGCTATAGGGGCCGGAGGCAAAATGCATCTTTGCATCTTGGGGTCTTTTTGGTCCCCGCTCCCATGATGTGTTCCCCATTGTGGAGGACTCCCATGAGTTGGACTCAGCCCTCTGACTCCCCGGCCCTTCCCTGATGAGAAAGGCAGAGAGAAGACTTTATACATTCCTGAGCAAAGAGGTTTCATGGTTTATGATGGTTGTAGCAAAGCTCTGGGAAAGCACTGCTGGCTGCTGATGGGAGACCAGTGTATGTGGAGTGGTGGGGAGAGGGGATCCCCTCTCCAGAGCAGCAAGCTTAGCTAGTTCTCTGGGGATAACTTGATTTGTTTCATCTGTTAGTGACAAAAATAATTTTTTCTTATGCTGTTGGGAGGCCTCTGGTGGGCACTGAGCAAAACCATGATCAAACCTTCTAACCAGATTACAGCACCTATTTCCAACACAAGCAAGCAGAGACTCCTGGAAGAGCTATACAAGAGAAGGGAGCTCCCCTATTTTAGCAAGATTAATACTGTGTAGTGGGAAAAACCCTTCCCTGTGGTTTTGATCTGGGATGACTTCCTTGATTTTATTTTTTTTCCAGAAAGTGATCAAAATGCTGCTTCCTTTAGGACACCTACAAAAGGCAGAAATGAGGAACCTGGGCTAGTTTTTCAGGCATTTGGGGGTAAAAATTTTGGAGCAGAAGGATAATGAATGGTTATGCATGCACTGTGTAGTGGGAAAAACCCTTCCCTGTGGTTTTGATCTGGGATGACTTCCTTGATTTTATTTTTTTTCCAGAAAGTGATCAAAATGCTGCTTCCTTTAGGACACCTACAAAAGGCAGAAATGAGGAACCTGGGCTAGTTTTTCAGGCATTTGGGGGTAAAAATTTTGGAGCAGAAGGATAATGAATGGTTATGCATGCTGGAAATGCTTCTTACATTAAAACCAGACTTCGCTATCATTATTTTACACTCTGAACTTAGCACACAGTTGTTGCAGTTCATGTGTACAGTGTGGCTGCAGTGGGCTTGTAAAATGCTCCTGGTGTGAAGGAGAAGGCAGCTTGGATGAAGCTGCCTCTTGTCCCCTTCCGTGGAGCTGTACGAAGAGCCAGATGAGGCACGTCTGAGTCCGTATCCAACCCCCACTAGTGACCAGTGGTGGATGCCTAGAGAAAGTGTGGGGGAAAGAGGTTGAACAGAGAATGAAAACTCACTCTGTTCATTCCCCAGCCTCTGGTAATGCATGACTTGATGATTATAGTGGAGAAGGAAACTGTTTTTCTGTAGTGATTTTAGAAGTGACTCATGTCTTTGCTGTCTCCAGAATTGGAGTATCTCTGTTTTGCTGCTCTCTGTGATTTCACTCTCTCCCATCAGGAAATCACCCTCTGATGCTGTTGTTTAAGCACATGGGACATGCTTCGCAGCATTAAACAGACCTCAAAAGTCATAGCAAGGAACAGACCGTTCCCTACTCTTCGGTTTAATATTGAAATATTGGCTAAATTAGCTGTTCATATATATACACACTGAAACAAATCCTTGAAATCACTGCGTTCATTCAAATGCTGGAACTTTCCTTATCACCATCTGTGAAGAGACCAAAGTAGAGGATGCTCTGCCACTGACCTGCTGTATAACCGTGCACAAGTTGTGTAAACTTGTCTTGGTTTCTCCGGCAATAAAATGGGACACAGGATACCTGCCTCCCCATGTAGGAGTGCCTTCAGATCTACAGATGAGAAGTGCTGTACTAGAGCTGAGTACTATTACTTTTTGTAGCCTAATGCAGATTGGTGGCAAGGTGGTGGCTTTCCCTTTGATTGTTAATTACCCTTTTTATTATACCCTGCATAAGACACTTTCACATTTTAATTAGTGGTAACCTGTTCTTTGTAATTACTGATGGAGTTATTAGACAATCTTTTCTATTATAGCACAATGCTGATTCCCCTTTAAGGACTACATTTGTTTCTAGGAATTGTTTGAGTTTATTCCCCAGAGAAGGCACTGAGCAGGTGATTTTAGTAAGTATGCCAATGAAGTGAATGAGGAAGTGGGAATCCATCCATCTTTATCATTGGATTGACTCCAGCGCTGGGTGTGCTGACCCATATCTCATTTTCGGTGCTGGTTATTTTCACCTGGGGACAGCTGAGGGTATAACCCGCTGGTTGCAGAAATGATGGCCAAGATCTGTGTCTGTAGGATCTGTTTAGTGCTGCTGATCAAAGTAGCATCTCTGAGATGGATGCAGTTGCAAAGGCTGGGACAGTCCCAGTCTGGTCTTTGCTGACTTTTCTGTGTGTTTCTCCAAAGCTGACCAGAGCTGCATGAACAAACACACCTCAAAACATGGAGTGACATATGGCTGGTCATGTGTGTGCTGTGGTCAGTCTGGCTGGCAGATAACAGCCTGGTATTTGTACCAGAGACCTTCTAGGGCAGGCAGGGGACTATGTTTTTGGCATTTCCCATTTTCAGATTCAGTAAACTAAATACAGATAGGGTTTCCTCTGAGCTGGTCACCTATTATGGTGGACTTGAAAATAGACAGAGGAGTCTAGGCCAAGATTCATCTCTTCCTTCTGTACCCGAATGCCTCTGGGCAGATGAATTGCAGCTTTGTTTCTCCCTATTGACTGTATGTGGAGTCCCAGGTGATCAGTTCAGCTGCACGTACCAACACAGCCAGACGAAATCATTCCCACCCCTTACCTGCCCCTTGGTGGATATTTTTGGACCTTGGTTCCCAACTATTTAAAAGAAAAGTGTTAATCCTTTTTTCATTTGTGTTTCACCTGTGCTGCAAGAGAAACGGGTCTATCTAAAAGATACCGCGTTGCCAATGGTAGTACAAATGATTGTGCCTCTCCAAAGACAATCTTCCTTTTACACTCAGCAGAGCTAGGCAATCACTTGTGACATTATTTATGACTTATGCAACTTCTTCTCCTGCTTATGGATGTCTCTAAGCTGTTCAGAGTTAACTTCACAATGGCAGGTGTCCTCCTGGTTTGCAAACCAGGTAACCTGAGTGTGCGGCTTCTTGTGTATTCAGAGGAGTTATAAATTTGCACTGGAAGATGCATGTTTGTAGAACATACCTTGGCTACATGCATGCTTCTTTTAGCAGTGTAATATAATTCATGCAATCCTGTCACAGATCTTCAGAAAGAAGGTCTCTCTCCTTATGAGAAGAACTAGATGATCCTAATCTGCTGATTAGTGCCGAAGGTGCAGGGTTTGCAGCCTAAAGCCTGGTGGGTTTCAGTGAAACAGTTGCTTAAAACTGGCCATACTCCCACAGAGACTGAATTAGGAGCTTGAGGAGCAAAGAGGTTAAATTTAGCTTAGGGTTAAAAAGCTAATGCAGTAAAAATAAGGCCCTAACCTGCGATTTGGGAAACTAGGTTCAGTTGCTTCTGCTACAGCAGGCATCCTGCAGGGAGCTGGCTGTATGCTCAGTGCTCTGGGGATACCCGAGATGCCCTGGATACAGGGAGAGCCACCCCATTTCTGTTATGCTCAGTGCTCTGGGGATACCCGAGATGCCCTGGAGACCTGGAAACCCCCCTGGCATGGTGAAATGAGCTGGAGCCCTGTACCTCATGACCCAGAGGACATACACCTCACTGCAGCCTTCAGAGCCAGCCCGTGGTTTAAACTGTGGTCTCCTCCAGAGCTGGAAGGAGTATAGCATCCCATACCTGAACATAGTCACGTACTCCAGCTAACTGGCTTTGCTTCCTTGGCTGGAGAAGGGACCCCAACCATTCCCAACCATGTCTGGACATCTCAACCCTTGGCAACACTCCTGCCACCCTTCTGCTGTTACATTTCCCTTTCATGCCCTTCCCTTTCTGGTTGGAGCTGCTCAGGGGTAAAGGTTAAGGGGAAAGGGGGTCCTTCCCAGCCCAGAGGCTGATGGTCACAGCCCAGCTGAGTGCAGTGGCATTGTGGGGGTGGGAAGACGGTCACCTTGAAAGAAGCTGACAGCACAGACCTACCTCCTTCCCCCAGGGTGGCTCCAGAGAAATTTACAAAAGGAGGGCAAGTCCTGTAAGGGTCACCAGTCTCCCTTATAAAACCTCTGGGGCATTCCCAAGTGAGCTCAAATAAAAGTCACTCCACTCCTTCCCCAGCTCCCCCTGAAGACAAATGTGCCATCCACTCTCCTTTCACTTTGAAAGAGGCCCACTGTATGGTCCCAGTTAATAAAGCTGTAGAAAGTGAGGCAGTGACCCCACCAGAGGCAAATCAATAGCAGCAGGGCCCCTGGGTATTGTGTACTTTAAAATATGCCATTTGAAATGCAGATTTTCCCTGCCTGGGCTGGGGCCACAGAGCACTAATCAGAATGGCAGCAGCCTTATTATCTCAGACTGATTCAAGGGGACGGAGAGGAGCTTTTCCCTTCCTCAGCTGAAAGGATGTATTTCCTTTTGCTTCTCTTACTTCCTTGGCATGACCTTTGCCTCAGCATTTAGAGGTTTTTCCTGTCTGATTTTATAGATTTGTTCCCTCTTTCCTCCAACCTGGCCTTTACTATTGGTCAAATATTTATCTTCTGAGGAGACGCTACAAAACTGGTTCATGCCCAGGGTCAAATATTTATCTTCTGAGGAGACCAGGAGACGCTACAAAACTGGTTCATGCCCATGGACAGCACCTCAAGAGCTATGAGCCTGCAATACCCACCCCAAGGCTTGAGAACTGATGAGGTCATCCAAAGCATGGGGACGGGAGGTAGCAATGGCTGGTCAACAGAGAGAGATGAGAGGATTCATCTCACACATCCTTTTGCTACCTCAAATTGAGGAGGCTAAACTTCAGCCAGCTCTGTC